TATATATATATATATATATATATATCACAAATAATTTTTAAATATTACCAGCTTCAATTTTAACTAAAAATTAAATCTAAATTACCCAACCAAAACTTCATTCAACTATGCATTTCATTTTGATCGATTTGAAAATATTTCGTCCGGTCACCGCACGTCCGGACGGCCAACCACTAGTGGTCACATCGTCATACACGTTATCGGCAGCCGACGTGACTGTCGGTGGTTGGTCATCTGGACGTCTGGACGAAATTTTTCTTTCCGAATTGACCAAATGTACCTCGATCTAGGATAGCAAATTTTCAACTATTGGGGAAACAATTATGTCGTAGTGGTTAATTTTTTGCACATAAAATCCAAGTAAATATAGTTATAGCAAACATAAGTTTCATGAGATGAATTCTACAACTGAAAAACGCAAATGAAATTAATTTCAGCAAAGAAGACTTCCAAAAAATATATATTAGCAAGATGCCACTTCTCCAAGTTAAATTCTGAATGTTTTTCAGTGCTTAAACGTTCTATTTTCAGAAACATAAAATCTAATGTGTGCTGTGGTTGGAGGTTATTGGAGCAAAAATCGTCCATCGGGTCTTCGGTCCGGAACGACACAAGAACTTAGCTCCTTCCCTTCCAAGCGCTCCTCCATGCTCTGGGCTTCCTTCAGGTTAAGGCTTAGGTGTCCTTTCATGAAGGGGGTAGAGCTCTATTTATAGAGTTTAGGATAAGCTTTGGGCAAATAAAGAAGGAATCTAAACCACTCCATCGGACTGCCCAAAGAAAATTTCTCGATCCTACAAAATTTGATGGACATTTGAGTGTCTTAAAATTATAAAAATGATTGAGCTTGGGCTTATTGGATTCGTCTCGTCGAGATGCTCGATTTGACTTTACGGTTGTCGGATTTTAAATTTGTTTGACCTTTCAATTGAACACTATAAATTCCGAAAAGTAGCTTTACGACTAGATCCAGGCCTATTTTGACTCAGATTGGATCAATTTTGGTGTGTTAGGTCCGTCTTGTTGAACCAGTCATTTGATTATAAGTTTATTGAAATCAGAATTTTGGGTGATTTTTAATTGAGGTTTGAATGTGTATTGCTAAAAAATATCTCGAGATTTAATACACGTCTTGAGATCGATGTCGAATGATGAATATTTAATGATGTTGTATTAGTTGCCCTTTATTTTCAAGCGAGAATGGGCAACAACGGTTTCTCTATTCTTTGTCGCGGTTTCAAGCCTCCATATATGCATCATTTTTTCCAGTGACGAAGGCAATGGTGACTAATCGGGAGAGGCTTATGGTTCATCGACAATTGGAGAGTGTGCGATGTAGTGGGTCGACTATTGAGCCTACATGCTGACTGATTGAAGGTTGTGCAAGTCTAATCTGGTCTGGTTGAGTAGATTGTGTTGGTCTGGTCGGACCTACTGTTCGGGTTGCAAGGTCCTACAATCGACCCACGCTACATCATGTGGTCACACGATCAATTTCGAGGTTACACGATTGCGTGATCACGTGGACATCGTTCACATGATCATGTAGATCGCGATAGCATGACCTTGTAGATTGCGATCCGCACACGTAAAATCCCTGTTCATTTAGCAAGATCGAATGGCTAGGGCGGGACAAGATTGCAGGGATGGGGGATTGTGATGGATCCATGTGAAAACACGATCCAACCACTAATTTGGGTTGGATCGAATGGTGGAGGTAGGACAGTCGAGATTGACTAAGATTTATGCTCTTTGCTCTTTTGGATAGTTTTTAGATAGATTTTTTTTTTTTTATTTTTTGGTCATTTTGTATCATAAATAAGCCAAAATGATGAGAATAAATGTGGAGTCTCCCAGCCTTTTTTTTGTGTAATGAACAAAGCTCCCCTTTGGCGTTATTGCTACTCACATTGAGGTCTCCATCATATTGTTTGTGTAATTAGCAAGGCTTCCCTGACCTGCTAATTAGAGTCTCCAAGCCTATTATGGTGTGATCAACAGAGCTCCCTTTCGCGTTGTTGCTGTGTTTTTTGGAGGAAAATTACTGAGTTGCTATTGCGCTTAATGGAGGAGATTTTTCAAATTTTTGTGCTTACATGCGATTTTCCCGCAGTGTTGTTGCTCTTTCTGGGAGGAGATTTCCGGCACTGCTACGACTCTTTCTATAGAAGATTTTTTACTTTATTGTTACGCTTTCCAAAGAAAATTTTTCATTTCGTTCTGTCACTGTCAGGAGAATTTCTGTGTTTTTATCATGCTTTCCCGAGAATTTTTTTTTGCACTCTCTTTTTGGAAGATATTTTCTATGTTGTTGCTATACTTTCCTGAGAAGATTTTAGGATTGTTGTTGCACTTTCAGAAGGAGATTTTCTGTCATGCTGTAGGATATTCTGAAGAAGATTTTCTGCATTGTGAGATGTAATTGTTCAGGGGATCCCTCTTACCAAAATTGACATAAGTCCCAGAATCCTGAGGGGACGATGCTAACAACTTTTAAATATGAGATAGTTTTTTCTTTGTGGGCATGAAAGATCGAGCTTCACAAGATCAACAATATCCTGGTCGAGCATAAGAAGTTGAATAACCCCTTGATCAAAATATGGAGACTTTGCATGCTTTTCAAGAGAAGATATTTTCTCTTCAATAAAAGAATATGAAGCTGCAAACCTTCTGATGATGAGAAGAATGTTATAGTGGATGAGTGTTTTTTTTCTTTTGTTGACTTGTTGTAGCCTTTATACCAATGTGTTGGTTGTTGTAGCTTTTCAGATGTATGATGAGGTATTTGTAAGTGGTGATGATATATTTATTTCTACTTTTTTCTTTTGCTGGGTAAAAAAATTGACAATGCTTCTAAGGTTATTTTTGCCTTTCTTGTTGAACTGTGGATATCTCATCTACTGTGGTGTTTTAAGGCGTTAATGCCTAATTTTTTAGCCAATATTTCTAGAATTCTAGGTTGTCACTTAGAATGTCTAATTTTTTTGAGGTTGTTTAGTCAGAGTTTGTCTACTTAATGATCGTAGCCTGCAGTGGAAGAAGTCAGCTGTCATCCAAAAATTATGTAAGAATTATCTTAGATTATATAGCCAAAGATGCTTAACAATGTTAACATGTATTGGAACAAAATTGAAAGGATAATCCATTAAGCATATATGACATTTCCTAAGTTTGTAAGCCAGAGATGCTCGACGATGTTAACATGTATTGGGACAAAGTTAAAAGAGAATGTGTTAAGGATGTAGGACATGTCCTAGGCCTACAGCTCGGAGCATCCGCTCCATGATGTTAACATGTAAGGAACAATGATGTGTAAAATCTATCAAAGACTTTTAACCTATTCAAGGCTGTCAGTCGAAGATTTGCTTAAAGACTATAATCTTTTGATGGAAGATGTCGAATCAAATCCCTCTATAATCGATTAAGCCTTGAATGAGTGTTAGAAAAATGTTTTACATTTATTGAAACTGGGTGTAAGCTGAAATAGATCGTACTTTTCTTTTAAATATGATTGCAACCACATTAAGAATAATGTTTTGCAACTTGCTAGTTAATTCTTTTGAATTTGTTGTCTCCTAACATGGGTGTTTTTCACACAAGCTTGTAAAGCATCCCATGCATCAAATCTTGAAGAGATCAGTTTTCTTGTCCATTTGAAGAAAAACATCAATATGGTGAGGAAGTGTTGAGGAAGCGCTCTTTGCTATGAATGTTGCCCCTAGTATGGAAGCGGTTCTCAAAGACTTGATGCCTAAATGAGAGGTAAGATGACTACTCCGCCACAATCGTGTCCCAAATTTTAACTTAAATGACCTTTTGCATTAGTTGGGAGCTAGTGGACATGTAAGTCATAGTTGATCACACAAACTTTAATGATGTGCTGCAAAAATAGAGCTTCAAGAGTCAAGAGAAAATCATCTTATCCTAAGTACAAAAGCCATTGTTTCCTAAATATGTTACAGTTGTGTTGTTCACCTAATATAATTCACCCACTTTGTTTATGGATGCCATTTCAATTAAGATTACATTAAAAGTACGGACTTCAAGTTAGATCAATCCTATTCAAACAAATAGGTATAAATATAATTATAAAAATTTACTGTTTATAGATGAAATGAATCATGCATTTTTATGCATGAATTGATCCACAACTTCATCGTGATCTCAGAACTTTAAAGATCAAAGATTTAAATTACAAACTCTATAACTTATGGCTCAAAATAGACACATTTTTTAAATAGCCCTTGAATAGCATGATTTTGTTCGACTAGAATGCTATCATAATATTAATAATTATTTAATTACAACAAAAAAAATCATTATTAGAATGTCATAATAATATAAATTATTTAATTATTTAATTAATTCGAGTTACAACGATACACGATCAGACAAAAATTAGTTAGTGTTTGACTCATTTATAAATTAAGCTAAAAGAAATTATTTGAACGTGATTCGCTTGCTTAATGAATGAATCAAACATAATGAACTTAATGAGCCGAATTAGGGTTGTATCAAAATATTCCAAAAATAGGGTCCATTGAGGCCATGGAAGAGAAATTGAATTTTAAGTTAAATTTGAGAAGGTTTGCTGATTGAGCAAACAGAAGCAAGTAATACTGCAGCAAACAATCCAACGATTTTGGGAGAAAAATGAGAAGTATGGAGAGGAAAGACGGTCAACAAATTTTACACTTATGTATAATTTTTAGAATATAAACTGGGGATAATTACATGCATACCATCCAAAACATTCACATTTACAAATTAACCACCCATGTAATTTTTTTGAAGATGTATTTATGCTTGCCTATTGAGAATTTGATAAAATTGGAAAATATGAGTTGGGGCATTACCATGTATTTTGATAGTTGAGTGACAATTTGGAAAAATGGATGAAACATTGTCGTTGATTTGTAAATAACAAGTTTCGGGTGATCTGTATGTAATTGTCCCCACTGACTTTAATTCTTCAAAATTGTGAAAAGGATCAGACTCAGAGAGAAAAGGATGGATTAAATATAAGTTAGGTTAAAATGAATCTTTTAGTGCCACTTTTCTTTTTTGATTTATGGTCTTTATTTTGATTTTGTTTTATTTATGTCTTGATTTGAAATAAAATGTATTTGATATATTTGATTAAAATATGATTATTTTCTTAATGCACACAAAGCAACCAAAAATTATTTTGAGTACTTTCAAATATTTTTATTTGTTTTATGAAGCAAAAAAATAACTGAAAAAAATAAAAATGTGTTAAATTTACGTTAAACAAACATATTTTTAAATATAAGTGAAAACAAAAAAAAACAAAAAGTTTTTTATTTTATTTAGTTTATTTATATTTTGTTTCAAAACAAAACATATTTAGCTTTTTGGTTAAAATATAATTACTTTTGAATAGTAATTTTGAGTGTTTTCAAAAATATGATAATTTATTTTTAGAATAAAAAAATATATATAGAAAAACACAATAAATAAATATATATTTTTTAAAATAACAAAAAAAAATTGATTCTAAACAGAGGCTTAAAGAATCAATTTATAAATGATTCAACTTACAATCTTTTACCACGTAAATAAGAGAGAAATTGTGCTATACAAAGAATTAATTTAGAGAGATTTTAAAAAGACTCCCACTAAGATTCGACGTGTCAAATTTTACGTGAAATATTTGCTACTCAATATGTACCCTTGAGACTTGGTTTTCAACCCTATTAAATGTGGTTTACCTCTTAGCACAATCGTGTATATATACATGTGTGTGTCTATGTATGTGTGTGTCTATATGGATGGGGTGTAGAGTTGATCATAAAGGACTCTCACCTGAGCCCGTTACTTCCATTGCACTTGGGTTGGGCACTGGCTTCTCTTCTCCTCAAGTGGGACAGCGAATGTCATAATTTGTGTTAGGAGGAATTCATGCTAGCACGGCCCTCATTTGATAAAAAAGAAAAAAAAATTATATATATAGACACACACACACACACACACATACATATATTATAACATTAAAATAAGGCATGTCACAAGGCTAGCATATTGCATATTCCGATTGAACATTAAACATCTATTTTAAGGTTTTCTCTAGTAACATTTCACACACAGTACAACCAACCCCAGCCCACGCACATCCCACCGAGCCCAACCCACCCATACCACCCACATCTCAATTGCCAGCTAAGTAGGGTTGTAAATGAACCACTATGCTTGGCAAACAGCTTGAACTCAGCTTGATTAATATTCAATCATGTTTGTTCAAATTAATAAATTAAAATTTCATTTTTTTAACATAAAAATTAAATGAATCAAATTTGAATATAATTAAACTCATTTACTAATGTTCATGAACAAAACTCATTTTTTATTCAATAAGTAACATGTTAAATGTTCTAAATTTATGTAATACATATTTTAATTAAGTTTAATGGCTTGAACTTATTTAATTATATATTAAATATAAATATATTTTAATTTAATATCAATATTCATATAAATTGAATACATTTTATTATTATATTTTTATTTGTAATAAACTGGTTTACACTTATTTATGTTATTTAATTACAAAAAAAATTACTTGCTACTTATATATTATTTTATTTATTTGATATAAACTAATTACATACTAATTTAAAATTTATTCAATTACTAATTTATTTTAATTTGCAAAATAGTTAATAGTTTTATAGAAAAATTTAACTTTTCAATCGGATTTCTAACTTATTTACTAGTTTTATATGAAAAATCAAGAACAAAAAAAAATTAATCTTATATGAAAAATCAAATGTTCAATCAAATTATTAGCTAATTCAAATAATATAAACAAATCATACAAATTAAATATGATTATTATAGAATTTAAGTAAATAAAAATTCATCTCAAGCTCTAACTCAACATCAACAACATATCATTCAACCCTAATCACTAACTTGCCCAAAGAAGCCCGAGCTTAAAAATGCCATCCCTTCGAACGCCAATAACTCCGCAAGTTATCGCTGTTCCGTGCCTCTTTGACCTTTACAAAGAGCTTGTATGCAGTCTCAACTTTCTTCATTGCCAACAACTTGTTATTAAGTTTGCTATAAACAATCCTCCCCGGACAAACCCCATGTCTTAATGCTTCATTTATAACAAGTACAGCAGTCTCCACCTGCCCTACATTGCAGAGTCCATTAACAATATGATCATAAACCTCACCATCCAAACTATAGCCACTCTCCTGCATTTCCTCCCAAAGCTTCAGCAACATCCCTCCTTTGCCACACCTTGATAGCCTCATAAACAAGAGCTTATAGGCCTTCAAAGAAACTCTGCACCCTGATTTCATGGCGCTTTTATAGATCATCATGGCGGCATGTGGTGGCCCGAAGCTGCAGAGAGTTGCAATAAAGGAAGCAATCATTGCAGCACTAGGGATGGTTTCTCGTTTGAGCATTTCATCAAACAGTTCAAGTGCATCTGCCACTCTCCTGGCTTTCAGAAAGGCTTTTATCAGTTTGTTGTAAGTTTCAATGTCAGGAGAACATTTCCTGTCAGACATTTTCTTGTAGTGGTTAACTGCTTCCTCTATATCTCCTACAGAAATGGAGTTCGAAATCATGGCGTTGTATGCAGAGGTATCTGGAATGAATCCCTTTTCCTCCATCTTCTCAAAGGTTTCAGCCGCATCGCTTATCCTCCCAGCTCTTCCTAATGCCTCTATAAGGTGGGAGAACGTTTGAGAATCAGGATTAAAGTTATCAGCCGCCATTGCCGTCCAGTATTTCTCCACTTTATCTACTTTACCGAATTTAGCCCACCCAGCTATGATTTCATTGTAAGTCTGTTCATTAAACGGTATTTCCCCTTTCATGGAGTTCAACAATGAACTAGCAACTCTAACATGAGACCTGCTACAGAGACATTTCAGGAGAATGTTAAGTGTTTTAGTATCACGATCAGCGCCAATCTCATCTACCTTTTTGAAAAAATCAACCGCTTTTGAAACCTGGCGAGCTCTCACAAAGCTGTTGATGATGATTTCTACAGTTTCTAAATCAGGTTTCACCCCATCCTTCTTCATTCCGAGAGAGATTTCTACCATGAACTCGAGAAATTTCCTTTTGCCGAGTGCTTTGAGAATCACGTTATAGGTTTCGGCGTTCTTGGGTAAATCTGAATGCCGCATCGCCCAATTGAAGAAAGAAACCATAGCCGACCCGCTCATGTTGCCCTTGTTCAGCACATTTGAAAAGATTTCCGGCGTCAAATTGATGCCGGAATCTGAAAGGGCGGACTCTAAAGCGAATTTACCTGTAAATTTCTGGAGGAAGATTCCTCGCAGCTTCTCATCGGGCAAGAGAAAGCAATCGCTGGGAATCGGTAGCTGGGGTTGCAGTGCGGGTTTTAGGGCAGAAGAGGTACGTTTTGGGGGTTTAAGATCGATTGGGAGGATGCTAGATAACTCCGCAAGAACGAACTGTTCTGAAAGTGATGTTTCGTGTTTGGAAGAAATTTGTTGAGATTTAGGAGAGAAATCAGATTGCTGCGACAGATCGGTGGTGAAATAAGGACATGAATGATGCAGAGGGTGCCTGGAAATGCTAAGGAGGGTATGATACCTGGTTAGGGTTCGAGACGCCATGCGCACAAAGGAGAGCTCGATGCGATGTCCTCCCTCTCGCAACGGACCTGCGATTCGAATTCCTGGGAAGCTCCGTCCTCAGCAGGAGAATATTTGCGTATTATAACGACTTGTAACGCTTGCTTGTGCAGGAGGGTTACATCACATTATAAACCTCGTAACTTTTTTTTGTAACTTATTTGTAATTTATTAGGAGATATAACGCAGATATAACATTCATATATCCTTTGAATAACCTCCCGACATACGCAGTGCTGTGTACGTCTTACGTACACAAATAGTTTCCCCTCAGCCAAATTATGTTCGCGTTGTGCATTATTTCATCAAAATCAAAAAATCGTATCAAAGGAGCCGATCAAATTTGATGTATTCGATTCAATTTTAAAATTGAATTTTGATTTTCAATTTTTAAAATTTTAATATTTATTTTTTTTAATTTTTAAAACCTTAATAATTTTTATAGTATATATTGGGCGATGCGGCGTTCAAATGAATTTCGAAAAGCTCCGGCTAATAAGCATCTTATTGAATTATTTATTTGACTATCATACCAACCAAAAGAGTAACTAACATTGGAAGTTTAATGAGCAGCATTAGAAATCCAGTTATGGAAATCTACCAATTTACAGGGAATTGGTGATACACCTCCAACTTTTTCTTTAATAGTTCTGATGCAATTAAATTCACCCTAAAGTAACCAAGGATCATAAATAGTATTAGATAATGAAATGATTCTAGCACTTTTCTGTTAAAAGCTCTATCAACACCATAAACAACAGACATATTAAACTTAACATTAGAGAAAAAAGTAATGAGTGGTCAATTTTAAAATAAGTTTATTTCATTTAATCCAAATTTATCATTGAAGTTATCAACACAACATTAATTAGAAAAAAAAGTAAATTGATTAGAAATGATAAAATTAGAAATAGTGGAAGAAGATAATTTTGTTTCCGAGAGACGGACAAAATCGAACTTAAAATCCTTTAATAAAGTTTTATAATCCACAATACGGGCCTCATTATTAAGCCCGCGAATATTATATAAAATAAATTTACGAAAGACCTAAGAAAAGGAGAGAAAAAGAGACAAAAAAAAAATTTATTTATTTTTATCTTTTCTAGTTATTGTAGATACAAGAGTAGAAGAGGAAGAAATGTCTTTAGCAATGTTAACCATAGAATTTAAAATAAAAGTAGAGGTATTAACAATGCTTAAATTTAGATTAAGTAGAGAAAATCTATTGGCAACAACTAAATCATTGCAAGTAGTATTACAAATAGTAACATTAGCATTAACATTAGAATCAAAAGTGTTCTTGTTAATTGCAAGATCAAGTTCATTAACTGCAACATCATTTTCTTATTCACAAATCGACCGCATGATTATCAACATGAGAAAAGATGTCTTTGACATTTTCTTCATTAAAAGGAGTAACAATTTCAGGATTATCAACAATAACAATAGTAATATCAAAATTAACATCAATATTCTCCAACAAATTATTCACAATATTACCCCTCTCAAGAGAAGAATTAATGTCAACACCATTAACACTATGAAAAGGTAAAGCAATACTATTACCTTGAAGAGCATTATTAACAAAAATATTTGAATCGGAATGTTCAAATCGAGACAGGAAACAATAGACTTGTTTGTATTAACAGATTTACTTCGATATCTCAAATTACTATTAGTAGCATTTACTTGATTATTTCTTCTTCTAAATAAAGAATTAATAGAATTCCTCACATTAGAAGTATTCATAGGACAAGAAGAATGAGTATAAGCAATTGTTGAATAGTTCTTGTAAGGCAAGGGTTTACATTCATAAATAACAGACAAAATATTTTCTCTATCATTTGCCATAATAGTAATGGAATCAGGTAAAGCAGATTCAATATTAATTTGAATATTTACTCTAACATAAGTTAGACAGGGTTCTTTGTCGGTTAGAGAATCAATTGTTAAAGGCAAACCAATTTTACTAGCTATCTTAGAGATAACAATTTCATTCTAGCAAAAAAGGGATAAATCGGGAAATCGAACCCATAAAAGGAATTCCTTAAAGTCCTCTTTAAGATGTTTAAAATCTAGAGTCCATCTCTTGAAAATAAATGGCTTACCACCAATAAAACTAGGCCCTCTGAAAGAACCATTTCTAATACTTCTGGGCAATAGAATTTAAATAAAAAGAAACCTTCAGCTAAAGAAAGCAGTTTAACCGAACCTTTTAACTTCCAAAGCTTACCAATCACTTGTTGAAGATAGCCATACAATAGTCTTTTCCCTAAGGTGTAGTTAGGTTGGAGCCCGGTTAGACCCCCTCCCGCTCTCGCTCAAAGGTCACGATCTCTCGTTCGTGATCCCACCTCCGGCCACTCCCGCCCGCGAAGCGAAGCGTCCAGTTGCGAACCGGTGGTGCCAACCGCTCCCTCCTTCCCCTTTTGTGAAGCAAAACATCTCTTAGCTCCCTCTTGTTTGTGATAAAAGGCTTCGGACGGCTCTCCTTGAGTTTTAGAGAACTCACGGTGTTTTTCTTCGGTTTCCTCAGGGTGGAGGAAGGTTTCCTCGGGATAGAAGGAAGAAAAGTGCAAGTAGTAGTTCCTTGCGGTGAAGGAAGAAGAAACAAAAAGAAGAAGATTGTTCTCCCTTGGCTTCTTCTTGATGGCTTGTGGCAGAAAATAAATTGGGTTTATTTCTCTTGCAATTTTTTCTTCTTCGGTGTATCTCGTTGTAGAGTTTTTTTGGTGTATCTTGGTGTAGAGAGAGAAGAACAGAGAGAGAAGAAAAGAGAGCAACTAAGTGAGAGATTCCACTTGTAAGTCGAGGTGAATGATTTCAATACTATCACAAATCAATTCCCGTATGTTGAAATTAATTTTGATAATGAAATACGTACACTGATATTGTTGGCATCGTTGCGAAATAGGTGGGAAGCCATGAGATAGGCAGTTAGCAGTTATACAGATAAATCTAAACTGAAATGTGATGATATTCATGATTTGATTTCTGCTGAGGAGGTGTGCATGGAAGATTCTGACGAGATCTCTGGTTCGAGTTTGACACTGAATGTTGATTTTAAAAGGGAGATGACATGGCGGGAACACAAATAAAGGGGATCAAAATCAAAGTCGGGTCAGCAGACAACCTGCTAAAATTTTGGCAAGGCTGGTCACATAAGGAGGAACTGTAGGAATCCCAAAAATATGGAGAATGATGGTGCAAATGTGGTATCTGAAGAAGTACATGGTGCACTATTGCTGACAATTTATAGTTCTGTTGATGATGGAAGTGAAGAGGATACTGGGTTCGGGGCACCCATTCCTATTGTTCCACAGACAGATGGTGGAGAACCAAAGAGCTATGAAGAAATTTTGCAAGATGCAAGCTCGAGCAAGTGGGAGCTAGCAGAACTTCCACCAGGGAAGAAGACATTACACAACAAGTGAGTGTATCACGTGAAAACTGAGTGTGATTGCAGTAAGAGGTACAGGTCTAGACTTGTTGAAAAAGGCTTTTAGCAAAGGCATGATATTGCTCATGCACTGGGAGCTGTAAGCAGAGACAATAGTAAATCATGAAATAGCTTGGAGGTGCAACGCTATTTGGACCCTGTTTTTATGTTGAATAAGGGTGTTATTCTTGAGAAACTTCAGTTGTTCACAACTTCAGTTGGTCTTCTGGACTGAAGACAGGGCTTTGAGTTGCAGATGTGGAGGATTCAAGTTGAAGGATTCACAGTGGATGATACATGCTTGAAGAAAAAGGCGGCGTCGCTAGTGGAGGATATCAGTTCGAGGAAGTAGAAGTTGTAGCATGTGTACTGGTCACCAAGTGGGAGATTTGTTATGTTGGAGCCCGGTCGGACCCGCTCCCGCTCTTTCGAGCACAAAAGGTCGCGATCTCTCGTTTGCGGTCCCGCCTCTGCCCACTCTTGTGTGCGAAGCGAAGCGTCCAGTCGCGAACCGTGGGCGCCAACCGCTCCCGCCTTCCCCTTTTATGAAGCAGAGCATCTCTTCACTCCCTCCTGTTTGTGATGAAAGGCTTAGGACGATTCTCCTTGAGTTTTAGAGAAGTCACGGTGTTCTACTTCCGTTTCCTCAGGATAGAGGAAGGTTTCCTCGAGATAGAAGGAAGGAAAGTGCAAACAGTAGTTCCTTGCGGAGAAGGATGAAGAAAGTAGAAGAAAAAAATTGTCCTCTCTTGACTTTTTCTTGGTGGCTTGTGGCAGAAGAGAATTTGGGTTTATTTCTCTTGCAAGTTTTTCTTCTTTGGTGTATCTCGGTGTAGAGAAGAGGGAGAAACGAAGTGAGAGATTCCTCTTGTAAGTCGAGGTGATCGACTGGTGTAAATTCCTCAAGTAGTAAAATCCTCTGTAACTTTGTGGACGTAGGCAAGTTTGCCGAACCATGTAAATCTGTGTATTCATTTTTAGTGTGATTTTTTTTGTTCTATTTTTTCGCTTCGTCGATCGTTCTTCTGTTTGATCTATATATACATCACATCAATTGATATATCTAGATCTCGCAACAGGCGTAACCAGCAATGGCAAGATCTCATTTCTTTGAACCATCTTACATTTCATTTTATGAGAAAATGACTTTATCATTAATCGGAGTAACATAAGACAAATTAAAATAACTAGATCTAACAACGTTAGATGATATTAATCCTTTCCAACTCAAATTTGGAACAAATATTGGATTAGATGTTAGCAATGAAGAAGCAAAAGGAGGAAAAGAAGAATCCATGAGGCAAAAGCTCGAAAACACCTGCAGAAACAAAAAACTAAAAGAGACAAAAAAAAGAAAGTATGGAAAGAGAAAAGTTCGCTGAGATAGGGCATGTATATTTCTCAGAGAGTGACAGCGACTTTATATATGCTTAAAAATACAAGAATTTGATACTGCTGCTAGAAGATTTAAATCCCCGACAACGGCGCCAAAAACTTGACAACGGTTATAGATTTGATAAAGATGTGTATAAAATATTCAATAATTGCAAAGTCACATTTATCAACGCAAGTATATGTATCGCTCAAGTAATGCATGGCTCTAATGGAATTCTGGATATCGATCCCACATAGAG